TATGGGATCATCGCTCTCACCTCTTTTGGCAAACGTATACATGAACAAAATAGAAGAGAGCTTCAAGACGGCACCTCTACAACCGACAGTACTCATGCGGTACCTGGATGATTAGCTCGCACTTTGGTCATATGAAAGAGAAAAACTAGAGTAATTTCTGCAATTTGTAAACCAGATTGATGCAAAAATTCAATTCACAATGGAAGTAGAGGAAGGTGAGCGGTTACCGTTCCTGAACGTTGAAGTTATTCGTTCTAATGGAACGCTGAAAAAGAAATCGTTGAGAAAGAAGTCCTATGCTGGGATAATACTCAATTTTCGGTCCCATCACAATTACAGGCTAAATATTGGACTACTGAGGAGCATGATCATCAGGAGCCTACGCCTGACGGTTGCAGAATTCTGGGATGAGGAGCTGGAGAAATTGACAGGGATCTTCCTCGGTAATGGCTACCCAAGCGAAGTGATACAAAGAAACATACGGGCCTTGAAAAGTCGATGGCTGACGGGGACTATGAAAGGAGAGTAATGATGATCAAGGATTCAGAAAAGTGGATATGCTTGCCTTCCTGCGAATTAACTCAAAAACTTCGACCAATATTGAGTAAATGGAATATTCAGGTAGACATTAAGGAGAAATCAACACTTTTCACAAGTCTACCAGCGTAACATGAAAGGGTAGACAAATTGGACTGTTCGGAAGTTTACTGTATATCAGTATATATATATACTGATACTAAAAGATTAGAACTAGCGGAACACATCGCACGGACTGGACACGAGATTAATTGGAAAGTAACAGAAAGGAAAGCTCCATATGTTGAAAAAACAAGGAAGCGGAAGATTAGGGAAGCCATTGACATCCTTGGGGATACAAATCTAATGAGCAGGAGATTGGAGGAAGGTAGAGTAAGCGATAACTTTGCCTACTGCCTAAGCAAAATCGGAGAAAAGAATAGAACAAGACCAGCAAAAAGGAGACGCCTGGAGCAAGGATATGTCGCTAACCGGAGGAAAAGGGATTGTGATGACGAAAGTGGGGGACAGGGGAATTCGGCAATTAAGCAAGACGTTGTCAGTCAGTGAGGGCCATTTGAATAAACCAGTACAACTTTGGGGGCCTGGCAGTTAGGGAGCGGGGCAGACGGATAAGCACACCGTCATAGAAATTGGGGTTATGTACACAATGCACTAGAAATCCACTTGAGATGCCACATGCGACCAGAGATAGGTGTCCACATTTTGCTGAGATAACAGTTGTTTAATCAAGGAGACGACCAGTGTAGGGAAGGCCTAATATCTGCAAGCATGGGAATCAGAGCTTACGCGCTCCGCTCAGTGAAGCGGCAGTGGATGTGCTTCTAGGGCCTTGATAAATAGCGCCAGGAGTTAAATGCACACGGACTGGACCCGAGTGAAATCGGTCAACCAGGAAGGATAAAGAACGAATCTACGAGACAATGAAAGGATCCGGATTGGAGACCCGAGTGGGATAAGCCCATTGAAAGAGAGGGGGGGTAAATGCTAAGTGAGCTTACAATAATTATTGGAGAGAAGTTCATTTCGTAGGAAAGTGTAGGGAAAAAGAGATTCGTTGGTTAATCTC